AAAGTAAAGAGCTCTCTCAAGACCTTCACAACCTTATTGTTGCAAAGTATAATTAGCATTAGCACTTCTAGTAATATATTTACTGAGAAAAATGTTGACATGTTCAATACTTATTTTACCCGCTGTATATTACTTGTTTACATATGCAACCTTTGCTAATAACTCTGTTAACATGGGAATAATAACTATAAATAAACCTAGAAACTATGATACTAGTTTTTAATCATTCATGATTATTTCAAAAAATTGCAATAATCATGATGAAAATATTCCATTAGCATTATTTTGCATTTAAATTGATGTCTGGAAGTCATCTGCGGACCCTCACTTGATGTTTTGTGGCCCACAAAGTGGTCCCGACCCCAACTTTGGGAACCACTACACGAGATGAAATATTAACAATATTCTGCACACAGAAAATACTGCATGTTGACTCTGAGGAATGTTCCATGGGTCAGCTGGGTTTTTAGTACTTTAGAATTAGTTTTTTGCTAAATTTTTAAGTGTGTTAGTGCTCTAGAATTAGGGGACATAAATATTAAAGTTAGTGCTTTAGGGTTAATGCAACTAATTTTTAGATTAGTGCTGCCCACCACTGCTAAAAACTGTAACCCAGACATGAATTCTGCGAACCCGGGGGTGTTCAAATCAGGTCCTCAAGGGTCATCATCATCATCATCATCATCATCATCCTTAAACTTTATTTATAACGTGTTTTAACACCAGTCACAGATGAAAGAAAGTGCTGAACATCAGTAAGTTAAACAGATAAAATGAACACCAATAAGTTTCATGCATGTTTTAGCATCTTCTCTTCTCCGACACACCCAGAGGTGTCACAAGTTTTCACATTCATTCAAGTAGAAGTAGAAGTACTAGGGTTTAAAAATGTGTTTCAACTCAAGCTTTCAACTCAAACATGGTTTTAAAACTACTTAAAATATAAGAGTAATGTAAGGGGGAAAAAGCCATTAAGAATAAAAGTCTATAATGCCCAACAACCCCACCTCCACAAACATTTTTCTAAAGGCGATAATATRATAAAATGTTAATGTTGAAACATTTGGGATGCACTAGTCTACCTGTTCCAGCTGCATTCACATCTCTGTCATGCCATCTTCATACTAGGTTACACACTGGAGTGTGACATGATTTGTGTCAGGGGTGATGGATATAAACCAGTATGGTGTCAGAATGGTATACTGTATGTTTATACTTCTTATCCAACCACTATTAAATTCACTCTATCCAGGAGATGCCATTTATCTGGATAGTTGCTTTTTCTGAARCCGGAATGAAACAAGCTGTAGTGAAATCAAGGAGKTTCTATAGAACAGCTGGAGAGCGCAAAAACCACGTGACCGTGTGATCGGCTGGTGAAGCTAACGGCTAACGCTAAACGGTCAAGAGTCTGGATTTCCCATTACTGTACATGTTGACAACAGAGCAGAAAAAAGGACTGTCGATGTAGTGAGGTGTAAAAACTGGGTCTTCTCGGCTCTGCAAACTGTGTTGTTGCTCCTGAAGAGAGAAACTCTGAAACAGGCTGGTTG